CAATTTGCATATCAGCCTAGTAGTGGCAGGGAGGAGGCTATCATCTATCTCCTTCCCACATCACTAGGTGGCCTGGAGAAGGAAGCACAGTGAGGATAATCTTTGATTTTGTTTCAAAATGCCGCAATCCAACCTGCTGAGGAACAAACTGAATCATAGAGGGGAGCCTCATCATCTAAATGCTTTAATTACTGATTACCCCACCAACAGATACAACTGCAATATTAACCTGCTTCTCTGCAGCACCAGGGTACCAGATGAAACTGCGCTAGCTCTTTTCCTTTTCACCCTGTGCACAGTGGACCTCAGCTACAGCAGTCAGTCGAAGTTCTCTGATGACGCTGCCAATGTCGGCCTCATCATTGACGACTCCAACTAGGAGGCCCGAGAACCTATACAATGCTCTGTAGAATGGTTCCAGATAAATCACCTCCATAGAAACACTGATAAAACGTGGAGTTGGTGGAGGATGTTGGCAGCAGCCGTCCCTTTTCACTGGCATTCTTGGACATCCAGGGAACAAACAATGAGAGAGTCTCAACTTGTAAGTACCTGTGTGTCAGTTTAAATACCAACCTGGACGGGAGCAACAACATGCTTATGTTTCGAGGCTATCTTACTTCTGCGAATCTTAATTCCTCTCCTTTCTAGAGCATGCCTCCACCTTTCTAAATATTCCTCCACCTGGCTCCTGGCTTCACTGCCCAGCACAATGTGGTCCGCGAACATCAGGGTCCATGGGGATGCCACTCATCTGTCAGCCAATCCATCACTATTGCAAAGACGAAGGGGCTGAGAGATGATCCCAGATGCAGTTTCACCGCCACCTTAAACTCCTCTATGACATCTACAGCACAACTCACCACTGTCCTGCCACCCTCACACATATCCTGTATTATTTTAAAATATTTTCTCGGCCACTCCAGACTTCCTCATGGAACACCACAGTTCCTCTCTGGATACTCTGTCATAGGCTTTCTGTCAAAGGACACAATACAGCTCCTAACCTTCGCCGTACCTCTCCATCAACACCCTCAATGCAAATCATGGATCTGAAGTCATCTTTGACGGCATGACAGCATACCATTGTTCACAAATACTCAACTCACTTCTGTCCTGATTTGAGCTTCCGCTGCTCTTTCCCATAACTTTATTGTGTGGCTCATCAACTTCATGATGGCAACTCTGCAAACCTCACACCTTGTTCTTGAAAATGTGCACCGGCACACTTTTCCTCCATCCCTCAGGCATCTTCTCACTATCTTGTTTCTAACAACAGCTCACAACTTGTTTCTAAAAGAATAACTCAGTTGTAGCCTCGGCGTTTTCACAAGACACAGTAAATGCATTTTAAAATGACACCATTCATCAACCAGTATGCCAGATATTTTGAATAGTGATCAACCTTCATCTCCTTTCCACCAAGAGTAGAAAACACAGAAATTTCACGTGGCTAGTTCCCAGATCTTGTAAAAACAACATTCTACGAGCTTGGTCTCATCTGCATTTAAAAAGTTTTAGCTCATGCAGTGTTTTTTTTTTTTTTAAATGACTGCAAATGTATTTTGTAAATCTTTGATCACTTGTGCCAGAGATGTAGCACAGCAGTCATGTACATCAAGCTGGAGTGCTGCATTTGCCACATTTTGACAAAGATGATTCGCACAGATTTTGTAACTTATCATGTTTGAGATCATTTTTGCAAGTGAGACTTAACAATTGTTTTTCCAGTACAGTACTTTCTTTTTGTAAAAGTGAAATCTTCATTTTCACTGGGCCCTCATTTGTCCTTCGTACCCTGTGCTGTGCTGTGAATGATGCTTCACTACCGCAACACACATGCAATGCTGCGCTCTGATTTCATTTTTCAACAATCCAATTTTCAGTGCTGTGTCAAAAAATGGTGATGGCTTTCAATTGTGCCTTGTGGTACTCTAACATTGTATTGTGCTGTTATAGTTTACCTTTTTAAAGACCTGTTTAGTGACTGTATGCTCAGTAACCTTATTAAATTACTTCTCACCTTTTATCCACGACCCTCCCACCCCCGTCTGCCCGCTTGATGAACACAGCTTTAATTAATGAGTTGAATTCTGGTCGAACACAGGAAAGGGGGGAAGTCCAATTGTTTGGATGAAGCCTAATGCTCTGTCTGCCACTTGAATACAAAGTGTGGTATTGCGCTTCCACACGGGGCAGGTTAAGTCGGGATTTACCGTACAATTAATCAACTGTCTATTGTCTGTTAATGGCTTAGTAGGGGGGAAAGCATATTGCAGATTTTTTCATCGGGCATTAATATATTATAGATCATCAGCCAGAACATATACGAAATTTGCATATACGCACACAGCTGTCAAATGAGGCTCCGTGAAAGCTCTCGACTGCACCGCGCAGCCCATTCGTCCATTCACAGGCATCAAAGCTCGATCCCAGGTGGTTGGACAAAGAGCATACGACATCATGGACAGGTCATCCGTCATTCACAGGGCTCAAAACAGAGACAAACAATTATTGGCACTGACGTGCGCACCACCGCTGATTGGCAAGTGAACCCACACTGCCTGCATGAAATCAGGCGAGTAAACCGCAAAACCGGCAGCGATTTTATATATGTAGGCACCAAAAACATAATCTTTGGTTGAAAACAGTTGAACTTCTGAGAGTATAGTTTCAATATTAGCTTTTCAAAATATAAGTTAGGAAACCTTGGGTTAGGGACATTGTGATTTTCAGTTCTTGTCTGGCATATTTTTAATTTCAGTTCAAATTCAGAAAACATTTCCAACAAAGAAAGGTTCATGTAAACCGTTAAAAGCCCCAAATTGAGTTGACATTTTTCCCCTAATGCAGGGGTGTCAAACACATTTTTTGTCGTGGGCCACTTTAAAGGTACGTCTTCCCTTGGAGAGCCCTTATGAGAGTGAAACCACAAACATGTTTACCCGCCTCATCGCATGATTACTTGTACACCACAAATGAATGGATTTCTAGTTTTGAAATCAGTTAAGTCAACTATAATAGTGTGTCAGTTACTGTTCAAGTGAGTGTAAACAGGGGAACAAAATGATTGCAAAATTACAACGTTATTTATTACACCTGGAAATTTGACATTTTGGTACAGATTTTAGCAAGGTAATGGGAGTTGATACACATGATTGCCTTTCGGAGGGCCACATAAAATGATATGGCGAGCCAGATTTGCCCCCCGGGCCTTGAGTTTCACACCTGTGCTCTAATGGATTGAAGTCCTGTATTAAAAACACGGTTCGCATATTTTTGTCCAAATTATTCTTTTATTGTTGCTCGTGAAATGCTTCATACTTTTCGGTGTGTTGAAGACAGAAACATCTTTCCTGACTGTGAGCCAGAATCATTGGTTGACTTATCTGGGGGGGGTGGGTTGCTTCTCGCAGTCTAACCTGTCATCACACACTGTGTTTACACTGTGTTGAAGTGTGATCATCTTGCAGCAAAAATTTTAATCACAGTATCATTTCCCAGAGGAGCAGCCCTTTATTTGCTTCCTGACATACAATTAATAGACAGACATATGGCGTCGATTTGGCTTCACTCCCTTTGCGAATCTGTCTATTCCCACCCTTAAAAAAAAAAAAAAAAAAAACACCCTCCCATTCAAAAACACATGAGCGTGTGGGTCCTCCTACACCCACATGCATGCTGAACACAATCCGAATGAGGCCTTGCCCCCGGGACCACAGCAGGTTTCACTTTGAATCAGCTCATTGAAGTTGAACGGCAAGGTAATTCATTCAGATTCATTCCCCTTAAAACAAGTAGAGTAATTATTCCCAGTGGATAGATTTGAAGGGCTCTTTTCACACACCCACACCTCTATTAATATACGCTTTCAGAGGTATAGTAAGGAACAGCTTTCACGCTAAGCTCATATTTTTCTCTTGGTGCGTGTGAGATCAGCTTCCGTGTGGTGTGTGACATCAAAAATATATAGCAGAATGTAAACAGAATTTCCCCCTTCAGGGATGAGAATGAGCAAACCGTATGTAAAGACGAGCACTCGTTCAGTCTGTAAGGGCTGGTAACCTGAGAGTGGGCACCCTGTTAAAAAGACAATTTGTGTTTTTTGGCCTAAAACGGTCATTTCAGTTGGAAAAACTTTCAAATCCAAGTGAGTGACATTTATGGCAACAATGTTAGTTATTAGTGCAATAAAGCAAGGAAGTGATTTTTAGTTTGATGATTAAGGTTTAAGTTGTGGCTCAATAAAAGTGACAACCATTCTTAAAACTCTTGTTTGTTTTTTTCTTTTTTTGGGTGGGGTGTTGTGAAATGCAGGAAATTTGCCCAACAGCAAAACAAAAGCATATAGTCGAATTGCCCAACTTAAAATGTGATCAGTTTGTTACCCTTGACATATTGAGTTCACCCAAAATTATTTTTTTCCAGTGCGGTTCAAATACAGGAAAAAAAAAAAAGCTTGAAAAATCCACACGTAAAGGTGAAAATCAAATATGTGCGAGTCTGGATTGCAAGCCCGTGCACAACACTGTTCTGTTCTCTTTGTTTTTGACAAAAACAAAGAGAACAGACTCATCAAAAACTTTTTGATGAGTCAAAAGGGGGACGGTTCAATGTTATCCATCCGACACATTTCAATGAAAATGCATTGCTATCAGAATGAAACGTGGAATTGCGCCTCAAAGGAAAAGAGTTGTTCCTTTCCTCTTAACATCTGGGATATCAACTGTAGCGCTCTGGAACAGATTACGGAAAGGATGAACAAGTTTAAGGACGCGGAATCATCAGCACACCTTCAGTGTAAAAAGCATGAATGTGGCATGTAAATGGAAGTACATTCATTCCAAATGTCGACCTCAGAAATTCAAATTGTTGACATCGTTTGTGTCGAAAATCTGACTCCAGGTCTCATGAAAAGAGTCAAAATACCGCTTCGAATGGTAAATGCTGACCAACGGGTTCAAAAGAGGCAATGATAATCTGAAAAAAAAACAACTCACTGTTCTGCATGATGGAGGCAACTCCGGTCTCCCATCTTGTTTGACTTCTGTAATCTGTCCAAACAAAAAACATCTTTCACTTGGTCATCATGGAGAGCGTGCGCAGCTGTCATCTTTGGCATGACAGCTGATAAATGAGGCAAACAGTTGAGCATCAAATTCTGGTCAAGAGTTCATCAAATAATTGTGAGGGAAGGAAGAAAAAAAGAAATTGAGCAAAAAGAATCACTTGAAAGTGGCTTTGTCATTTTCCATATTTTGATTTGACAACGTTATAAATAGTTTGGGAAGTGTTACAAACTCATGATTAGTAATCAGATCAAATACTTGACGTGAAGTGTCGAGTCAAAAGTTTCAGTGCTGTCATTATCATGAAATGCAACGGATAAAATTATAAACATTTTTAATAATGTACAAACTGCATTTGTGGATGACGTCGAATGACAGGCAGAACAAATAAACGCCGTTTAACTTTTGTAACCATTTTGTGGAAAATGTTTCAGTGTGCCTTGAGATATAGTTTGTGGGGGTTGTAAAATAGGTCCCATGGCAAAATCAAGTTTGGGAAACATTTCTGTACAGCCAAATAAGTTGTACAGGAAAACATTCATCAATAATGACTCAAATATTACAAAAGTTCATAAGCTTGAGGAACTATGTCAATAGTTTCGGCATACAGTACAAACTGCAAAAAGAAAAAAAACTGTGATAGTATTTATGTTCGATATATTTTAAATATTCTGTCACTTATTTTGTAATGTGAATATTCAGTATATGTGTTTATTCTGTATTTTGTAATACACAGAGAGTCAATATTTTCCATGGTATAATAAATGTACTGCAACTCGTCCCACAAATACAGGTCCTTGTTTACAGCTGATATCGGGTTCATGTGCGGTTCACGCACGCGCGCGCACACACACACACACACACACACACACACACACACACACACACACACACACACACACACACACACAGATTTTTCCATTCAGTATTGCGAAAATGAATACACATCAGTCAAACTCATTCAAAGTATCATTTTATATGTAAATGTTCTGATTGAAGAGAATCCATTAACAGATAAAATTGTAATTGTGTTCTCTAAAAAAAAATTACAAACAGAAAAACTTACTTTTCAAGGGGGTTGTCATTTATGTTGAGCTTTTTTTTCTTTTTTTTTTTTTTTTTTTTTTTTTTACGTTTTGTGTCCATGAGATAACCCCATCAATAGCTTTGGATGGTGTGGCAGACTCTAAACAAATTGGTAAGACAGAGGAGCGTTTTATTGAAAAAAAAAAATGTACGGCTGCATTTGATTGTTTGAAACGACAAACGCATACCGGCTGCTTCTTACACTACATAATAATAATAAAAACAACAATAATAATAATCATAATAATAGTAATAATAGTAATAATAACAATAATAATAATGATGATACAATACAATACAATACCTGCTGATTTATATAGCGCTTTCACAAGAGCGGCAGCTGTAATAATAATACGACCAATTCCGTTTAACTTCCGCTTTGCAAACATAATCTGTATTTACTAACGCTGCTAAAATGTAATCATGTAGACTATAAATTGTTGTTAAAACATCTCAAGCACTGATCGCCTCCTTGACGTATCCTCAACTAAAGTGTTCTCCGCTTGGTTGAAGAATCGCGTCAACTTCAAAGCGTTTCTCTTTTCTCGAGGCGCTCGTCACGAACGAACTAACGAGCATAATGAACTCGAAGCAGCTCCGTGCAGACACAGGCCGGCAGCGGGCACCTCGTCCCGGCTGCACAGCACCTTCCATCCTGTGAAAGAGGACAAAGAGTCCCGGCAGAGAAGCCGGAGCTCCGCGGCCGGCCGCCTTTGTGTGTCGGCGGGATTTTGCTGTCTTTGCCTCGTTAGTTGCGGCTCGTTAAAAAACAGCAGCACAACACCGCGGCGGGGAGCCCAGTTTGACCACTATAATGGAGTTCTGTTCAACACACTGATGACAAATATAAACGTTTCATTCAGCCGCTTTGAACGTGCTGATATGAAGAGAAGGGACAGGGGGGAATCTATTGGTTCCACTTTTATAACAGTACTTCACTACTCCTGCTGCTGCAACTACTACCACTATTTATAATAATAATGATGATGATGATGATGATTATTATTATTATTATTATTATTATTTGTAAAGATCCTGAGCCTTAGTGGTTTATAAAATGGAGGAATGAACTTTGGGAAAATGGCAATACTTCCGCTGTGAGTAAATTAATAATAAAACTCACTGCTTCTCTCTCAAAAAAAGGCTTAGCCAAAATATAAAGTGGCGAGAGCCAATAAATGGAGTGAGCCCATGTGGAACGGGAGCACGTAATAAAATAATAATAATAATAATAATAAAACGAATAATAATGACTACATTGCAATGTGGGTAGAATGTATCTCGCCCCGCTACACACTATTCGTTTTGTTAAAAAAAAAAACAAAAAAAAACAAACAAACCAAAAACGATTTCATGCTGTTTATTTTACAAGTACATGTAGGCCCGGTTTCTTTACAGTGAAAGTGGTAGTAGGCCTGTAACGCTGCATCAAGTGCCTGTGCTTTAAACACCGTTTACGGTCATGCTTATTTTTTAAATGATTCACTTATTTTAATAGTTCTTGTGTCGGCGGGGCTATAAAGGCACTCAGTCCATCTTGACAACGCCTTGCATTTTGATATTTAGGTTCTTGGGTGCTTCAAATAATACGATCGCGACTATGTGACTAAATGAAATACACCGCCCCAAAAATTATTGCGTCGCTGTACTGTATTTAAAACAAACAACCTAAAAGAGGAAGGCAACAGACTCAGGTGTGGTAAAGTATGTGATATTTATTGACGACATTAGATTATTCTTTTGCAAAAGAATAACTCGACAGAAAGCCGCCTTCGTGACAAACAGGTGTGTTTAGCTTTGTTGTGAGGGGCTCAGGTGGTCCCACGCGCATTCAGACTTGTTTGTGCACGTGGCGTATCTTCATTAGAACACTTGGGAGCGGTTCCCTATCCTCTCGACACACAAAAGCGCGTTTTTCACGCATGTTCAGGTGGAGATCAGATGACTACGTCAATATGAAGGCGTCATTAACGCGATGTTAATTGGACAATTGATTCTATTAAATCCATTTTCAATGGGATCCCCCCCCCCAAATTCAGTCGTGCATGGGATGATGGAGTTCCTCCCCGAATGTCGGCTGGATTGTGCTGTCATTAATAACTTCATTGGAAAGTAAATTGTGCCCCCCCCCACCCCCCCAAAAAATAAACCCTCTCTTTCCTAACTTTTCATCGTTTGAACAACTCAGAAAGCTCTTTCAAAAATCACACAAAACAGGTACCGACCATTAATTAGAGTATATAATTTTGTAGAGTAGTTTTGTTTCGTAAAATGAGTCACAAACAACTGTGCGGTAGGCGAAATGAAATATGACTTGAATGAATGATTTCTTCTATTTGGACAATCTTGGAGTAGGTAACGTATATGTTTCGACATTTTTGGTTAGTTCTGGGTATGGTACAATTAGTGGAGACAAAAAGCAAGAAAAATCCCACCTTCGTTTCAAAGAAAAAAAAGTTTCCATTTCGAAGAGACAAAATGTGTTTTCGAACAGGGTCCTCCAAATCTGCATTTTCATTTCTTAAACAATTTAATTTTGTAGCATATATATTATCATCTTCAAATTCCCCCTCAAAAAGGTGCATGCAACATTTCAACTAACTCCGAAGTCCAGTCTGACGGGTGCACATTGGCAAGAGCTGAAGAAAGAATAAGTGAGAATCAAAGGAAAGATTGCGCGGGCCTACCTTTTTGTGGCATTCTGTGAGAGGTAAACTTTTAATTTGCTCCTACTTATTATTCTTCCCTCCAATTAGTTTCTCCTTGACTGAAGAGAAGTGCAGAGACAGACTCGGGAGCAAAGCGAGTGGGAGGTGGGGAGGCTGGTTGGTAGCGTGGGAGGGGAAAGAATGAGGAGGGGTGCCGAGTGCTGAGCAATAGCGAAGAGGGGGAGGGAATATTTAAAATCAGAAAGGTGGTGAGTTCATTAGTGAGTGCTTGAGTGGGTGTCTTGAGTTCAGTTTGGAATCGCGAGCGAGACAGAGAGAGGGAGTGACAGTACGAGAGACGGTGACACACTCTCTCTCTCTCTCTCTCTCTCTCTCTCTCTCTCTCTCTCTCTCTCTCTCTCTCTCTCTCTCTCTCTCTCACACACACTTACTCACAAACTGGTTTTTGCCCCTCATGATCCCTGTTGTTATCCCCATATGGTATCTAGCTGAAAGACTGAATCCATCCTGACAACAAATGGAATATAACACAAAGAATATGTTCCCTTTCACGCTGCCATATTACTAATGGATAGACTGTTGGGTAGCAAAGCATAAATACTTTAACCACGTCACCACCATTTGTAACTTTGTGGCCCAAACAGATTCAAACAGGAACATATGAAATATGAATTGGCATTTTATAATGGTCCTTTGTATGCTTGTTTGTGCGTGAGAAAGAGTGAGACCAGCCTGAGCGAGAGAGAGAGAGAGAGAGAGAGAGAGAGAGAGAGAGAGAGAGAGAGAGAGAGAGAGAGAGAGAGAGAGAGAGAGGCAATACTTCCGCTGTGAGTAAATTAATAATAAAACTCACTGCTTCTCTCTCAAAAAAAGGCTTAGCCAAAATATAAAGTGGCGAGAGCCAATAAATGGAGTGAGCCCATGTGGAACGGGAGCACGTAATAAAATAATAATAATAATAATAATAAAACGAATAATAATGACTACATTGCAATGTGGGTAGAATGTATCTCGCCCCGCTACACACTATTCGTTTTGTTAAAAAAAAAAACAAAAAAAAACAAACAAACCAAAAACGATTTCATGCTGTTTATTTTACAAGTACATGTAGGCCCGGTTTCTTTACAGTGAAAGTGGTAGTAGGCCTGTAACGCTGCATCAAGTGCCTGTGCTTTAAACACCGTTTACGGTCATGCTTATTTTTTAAATGATTCACTTATTTTAATAGTTCTTGTGTCGGCGGGGCTATAAAGGCACTCAGTCCATCTTGACAACGCCTTGCATTTTGATATTTAGGTTCTTGGGTGCTTCAAATAATACGATCGCGACTATGTGACTAAA